AGGGAAAACGCCCGCGGGGATCCGGGATCGGATCGGATCGGATCACCGGATCGGATCCGGGGCTTGAAAACGCCGCATGCCGCGGCTTGGAGAAAAAGAAAAACATCCCAGATGGTAGCCGCAAAAATGGCACATATGTTGGGTGGAACGCAGAAGCAAAAAAGCCAAGATATGCCAAGTACATCCAGCAACACTCTGGTGAATTGCGGAACACACTGCAGAAGGGTTTCCAACTTGTTCACCCTACTTGCGATCGTCATAGCATCCGCCGTGTCATGCCCAACGGGAAATGCCTGCAAAGGAACATTTACGGGGATGGTAACGGAAATCCTGGCTCAACACACAAGTCAGCATGCAAACAAGGCACTCGAAAGCCAGAATTCATCGGCTGGCTCCTCGCTGGGTACTTCCCACAACTTACAAAGTAGCCAGTCAACCGGAAAGAACACTAACCCCAATCTCAGCCGACTGGAGAGAACCATGCAGCATATTTGCTTGAGATCTGTGTCATCTCCGCCGATGTTGACGGCCAGAATCGGGGGGAGCTAGATGAGGCAACCTTCCTTCTTATTGGGAAAACAGCAAACAAAAACAACAGCGACAACAAGCAACAACAAGTGACAACAAATGACAACAAACGACAAAACAAATGCCACAAAAACAAGTCTTGGTTTAGCAGCATACTGCACAAACCTGAAATCAAGGATCACAGGAAAAATGCCATGGTGGATAAGAACATTGTTTGTGCTGCCGCAGAAGGTTGCTGTAGCCTACACATCGAAAATAGCCTCACAAAAGGGAAGCTGCTGGCAAACCGTTTTGACACAAATCCTTGTGCTAGCGTCCAATTTTTTAGCCTTTGCAGGAATGAGGAAAATTGGACATTGATCAAGGCTGCCTTTGCTTGTCAAGGATTGAGAGCCTTCTTGTAATGAGAGATCTGACACTGGCAACACGCGAAAACGAGGTCTGAGCGCAGCACGCGAGCTCTGTATTGAGTCCTCGATCACTGTTGCGCGGCTGCCTCAAATGTCGATGCAAGGCGCCCCTGTGCATTATCCTCTGCGGGAAGGTATCTTCGAATGGATTTCCGTCACGCTTGGGCTTGTCCTCGCACGCGCGAACTGCTTTGAAGGAACAAACAACATGCGGATCTTCATTTCAATCCCTTCTCTGTGGACATGGATCCCCTCGCACCATTCAAGGTGCCCCCATTGAATTGAAAGCCTTTTACTTCCAGCGAGAACCACAAGGCCCAAAAAGAATGCATGATCCATTGAACACCTGGGAACAAATGGGTCGGTCTATTTTTTAGAGGAACCCCCAAAAACATGTTTGTGTTCATTTGGATTTCCAAAAAGTGTGGTTAAATCGTACAAAATAGTACCAAAAAGAAGACACCTACCATATTCATGTACTTCGGACTTGGCCAGAATGGCCACTTCTCTGAGATTCTGACTCCTCTCTGGCTCCTGAAGCAAAGTGGGCAACACGCATGGCTTTCCCTGTACTTTGCTATGCTTCATTGCTGTCTAGCGTGCACTATGGGCATCAAGAAAGTCGAGTCCGCAGCACGACGTATCGTGGCGCAGCAGGGCATTGCTTTGCCAGTGTCTTTTGCATTTACTGGAGCTTGATAGCCACGGAAGCAAGCATACCAGCAACACATATATATATATATATATTGATGGCTTTTTGAACGGCTTGGTGTTCGAACCGCCTTTTCAGACTCTCTGATACTGACTAGGTGATGAGGCCAGGAAAGACGGCAATGTGATACTCTCCTCAAAGGGTATACTTCTATTCGCGGCGGTCTGGGAAAAAGAAAGTCCAGTAGTGATAGATGACCATTAACAGCAACAGGGAAGATAAGCGGTACTCTTAAGCAAATGGAAGCATATGATGGAACCGTGTCACTGCAAATCGCGCTTGACTTGTTCTGCCGAGAGTCGATTCATCCAAAAAACATACAGAGAGGACCTTTCTTCGTGGATTTTCAAGGAAAATAAGAGTCCCACCATTGGGGTGATATAGTCTGGAAAGCATATATATATATATATGCCCGTTTACCCTCCGTGCAACACATGATCCCTTCCAGCACCCGGGTTGAGAACACAGGCGCTCTGGAATCCTGGTGGTTCATTACACCCTGCTTCACCCGGATTGACTCCTTCGCTGAACTGTTTGACTTAAAACCTGCCTCACCCAGAGGACAGTTGGACCTTCACAGTTAGTTTGTCTCCGTCTCACTTGTCGGAAGGCTTGCAACATTTTGTTGCCCGCTGCAACCTGGCCAGGCGGCTTCCTTCGTGCTTCCCGAAAGAACGAGTGGGTCAAGAATAGGGTCAAAACGGTAAATGGAAAGGACGAAACCCTGAGTTCCCATCTTGTCGCCCATATCCTGGCTGAACATCTTGACCCACCTGCACATTTTACCATAGTTTTCGGAAACTGAATTGAGGGATCCCCAGCCCGCTCCATGCCAACCCGACTCGGGGGATTGCCGATCCAGTCGCATTGCCCATCCCCCCGCTCCAGCGTTCTCTGCAGCCTGGGATCGATCGCTTCGGCCGAAAGGCGCGCACTCAGAGCCGGGAAGCAAACCGGTTGCGACGATCTTATGACCTGAGACCATGGGGGCTGGGGGGGAGGGAGCCCCAATAAGCCCCAAAAAAGGCCTTATGAAGGGCTTAATAGGGGCTTATTTGGGCTCCCCCCCCTCCCCTCCCTCCCCGCCAGCCCCCATGATGAGACCATGGGGCGACATCACACAAGTTGCTATTCCAATGTGGCAATCATGCTCTGCGTTGAGCGTGCATTCACACATGTCATGCGTTGCCCCTTTTGTTGGCGCAAATTTCTGCTGGACCGCGATGGGTGCCTGCAGACCTGCAAGCTCTGCCATTACAGTGCGGCAATCCAGGGAACCTGCTGGTTGGCTAGTTGTCTTGGCACTTCGCGGTCCCATCAAGCCACCCATCGGAGGTTGCACTCCGATCCAAACCACAGCAACAAACCAGTTGCAGCTGATCCACGCTGCACAGGCGCTCCTAGATGGGTGTGTCTTTTTGTGACAGCACCCCTGTGCTTGGTGGCTTCAAAGCCAAACCAAAAAGCTCAAACCAGCCTTTTTTGCGGGGTCCGCTCCCTATCTCTCCCCTTTAAGCACCAACCCCCCATTTGGTTTGGGGTCCAACCTCCAAAAAAAAAGAGCGCTCCCTATCCCATTTAACCACCAACCCCCAATACAAAAAAACAAACGCTCCCTATCCCCTTGAAAACAATATCTCCCTACCAAAGAAGTGGCTGACAAAGAAACAACATAAATCCGGTGCCCTGCCTGGCTGGGCTTGGCCGGGCCTGGGGCAATTCGCCCAGAAATCCTCAGACCCCAATGCAACAAAAAAGGGCTCGATCCTGTTTTGCTACATGATATTTGTTTTACTATTTTTTTTTAAAAAAAAAAAAAAACACATATGTATATATACATATATATATATATAATATATATATATATGTACTGTATGTATATTATTTTCACAAGAAATACCAGACCCAGAGGCGATGAAAGAAAAAGGGCTTCATTTTTGGTACGTGTTATTTACTTTGTGTTTAGCTATATACAGATTTATATGGTACTTTATCTGGAACCCCCCAAAATGGACAACACAACGTCAGTTTGTCATTGCTCACGGGCATTCTCAATTCTATTGACAATTGATAAACGGGGCTACTACAATGGTGCTTGATGCTAATGTGGTAAACACTGAGCACGCCAAGTCCACGTCAAGTCAGACAGTCCGTGACCGGGGCATGTCTCTTAGCACACCAAAGATTCCCAAGAAGAACTTACTACTGTAGGGGTTCCTTCCCCATTCTTTCCAGGGATCCTTCTTTCTAGAAAACCTCCGGAAACCCAGGGAAAACGGCCGGTTTTTGGAGAGAACGATGGTTGAAAGGAATGGGCAATCAACCCCTAGACTTACCCGTTCAGTGGCCAAGGCAAAGGACGTCCATGTCTTTCGCCAGCGGAAGGGAGACATTGGGCAGCTGAATACGTTCAATTGTGACAAGCCCGGGAGAGGCTTGACAAGCAAAGAATCACGTACGCACCAAACAAAGTGGTCGTGATCCAAACGTGAAAAGAGGACAATGAGTCACAATCCAAACCTTGCGTTCAAGGGTCTACCCCAAACCATGCGGGTTTGAGTCAAAATAGGTCGCACAAAATGGTGGCATTTCCTTTTGGTTTGCCTTTCAACCAATTTGAAAGGGGACCCTCGAAACACACACACACACACACACGCACGCACGCACGCACGCACGCACGCACGCACGCACGCACGCACGCACGCACGCACGCACACAACACACCTATGTAAACCTCAGTTGCCCAAGGGCCCAGGAATAAAAGGCGATCCCCTTTTGGGGCCATGACGGAAAATAGACCAAAGAGGGGAAGCCGAAAGGTCAGTTCAGGTCGATTCGCGTTGAACAACTATAGGAGGACGCACAACATGGTGGCATTCCTTTGGTTTGCCTTTGTCTCATTTTGAAAACAGTACTCTCGAAAAGCACACACAGAACTATACGTAAACATTGAAAAGCTTTGCCCCGATGGGACGGACCTTATCTCCGGGTCCACTGCCTCACGCTCTCGGCTCACGAGCCGTGGCACCTCAGCAAAAGAAAAACGACTCTGACGGAGTAATTCGGAGGGCCACAACTTACTAAGATCCCTCTGTGGTCATTGGAAAACCCTGTACCCCTGGTGAACATCAACATAGGTGGCAAATGCATCCACCCCAAAATGGAGCCATAGGTTATGCCCCATAGCCATTATCTTGACTGTTTCTAGGGGTTGTCAAAGTCAGAAGCTGGGGTGTGGTATCCCTTCAACCCACTCAGGGGGTGACTTTGATAGCGGTAAAATGATGGAGCCAGTCCTGCCAAAAAGTCCAAACAAGTCGGATTACCGTCCTCCAAACTGATGCAAGGTT